TCATTTTATTTCGTTTTAGTTTGCACAAAAATTAGATAAATATGTATAAGCACACTATTTAGTTTCCTCAATTTGTAAACAAAGCTTCTCAGCAGTGAAAAATATACTATTGTGAACAACATAAACGAGCGAAATTCACAATATCGAATAAGCGTCATAATACCAAATGAAAGCTCGTTCGATCAGCACTTTCGACCACAGTCGAAGATCGAATGCAACTCATAATAGGGGCCATAGCTTTTCTTCATTTTTTTTTGCCGGCGGGACCAATTTAACTTATTTCCACTAGCTTTGATTTTCTTTAATTTAAGTGTATTTTAGAAGACGGACGGCAAATTCTAGAAAAAGGGGGATGAGGGGGGGGGGGGGTAGAATAGAACCCCCTGATTTCAAAAATGCCCCCCTTTTTTTCTAGCAACCATATAGTTCTTATATAATTTGTTGTTAAAGTTTTTGTATAAACGCTGAATAAGATAGCAAAATACCATCAAACTTGCTGCTGCCAGACTGATAAAAGCGGATTCTTAATTCGGAATTTTCACATACTATTCTCTCTTTGGTGTGCACCAACTGGGGCTACCGCCCCAGTGATGTAACCTTGGGAAAGGATAAGGTAACTAGAATTCCCTTTCTGTGTGGTAAACCTGGGGCTGCCGTCCCATTGATGTCTATTATGGTTATGATGAGGACTAAGACCCCTATCGATGCCAATATAAATTTTTCCAATCAGAGAAATGTACGTATTAAGCATTGCCTGTATTGCTTTGTATGTATTGTTTAGTACAATATGGCAACACATGTTATGTGTCAGTTTGCAACCTTTAACGCAAGTTTGTTTTTTGATTTATTATCAGATTTAAAAAACACAATTTAGACGGTATGCTTCTATCTCGAATGTTCGCAGAGGAATTGAAGTTTTATGTTCACATTTACAATAGAATTATGTTCTGGAGACGAGAAGGAAATGAAAGAAGTAGGGGAGAAAGAAAATAAAAAGAAATGCGATAGGCAGGGTTGCCACCGAGCAAGACGAATATAACAATAGGAAAATGATAACAATCCATGTGTTATTGTAAATATGGGTGCAATTCAACGTAATTTACAAGTCGATAACAGTTGAATTAAAGTGATTTATATACAAGATAAAATAAAATAAATAAAATGCAAAAACTTTGTAATATACAACGCTTTTATAAATGGACTAAAAAGTAGAAAATAATATTTCTCAGTCCCACAGAATTTGTTTTGATAACTTTTGATTTTGAAATTTTAGCAAAAGTCATTATAAACAATTAATGACATTGAAAACGAAAAACGTGGAGCGCATGCAGTACAAAGCATTCGATTTCATTGACAATAGTCAAACTACATAACATTCTACAGCGAAAGTACACATTTGATATCGATTTTAAACGGTCGTTATTCATATGCCCACATACATACATATGTTACTTTTCATATCAATTCAAGTGTATTACATGCGCCCCACGCTTTTCATTTTTAATGTCATTAATTGTTTATAATGACTTTTGCTAAAATTTCAAAATCAAAAGTCATCAAAACAAATTCTGTGGGACTGAGAAATATTATTTTCTACTTTATAGTCCATTTATAAAAGCGTTGTATATTAAAAAGTTTATTTTATTTTATTTATTTTCTACTTTTTAGTCTTGTCTGTACAAAATTTTGCAATAGATATTAAAATAATTCAACTTGCAGTGAAAGAGAACAGAAGACTATGCAAGCACAATGTTGTTTGCTCACATTTAGTATAAACATACATGTAGAGTCCGAAATAAATACACACGGCGTTTTGTATTTAACAGCTTTATTAATTTTAAAGTTCTGGGTTTAATCAGTCAAATGCGCTGTACGTGTGACTCGTCCGAATTTCGAATTACATCTGCTGTCCGTTTGTGCGTTGTCCATGTTGCTGTCCGCGTTCCTTTCGTTCATTGTCGTTCGTCAAAAAAGGATTCTTGTGCAGGGTTGCATATTAGCGTATGCAGTCCCACATTCGGCCCTCCTGACTACTCGTTCGGCTCGAACGATGGCTCCCACTTTTTCATGTACTCGGCGACAATGGTTGTGCGTCACCCTCGCCAACTTTCTCTACCTCGTATCGATCGTGAGCCAAAATTTTTGAAATCTTATAAGGGCCAAGATACTTTGGTCTTAACCTAAGGCTACTCCCGAATTGAGTGCGCTTGATGGCGACCAACTCATTTTGCTTATATTTTATTGCCTCCCTTCTCCTATCATCAAAAGTACGCTTAGTTTCTTTCTAAATCAACGCGATATTCTCTTTCGCTTGTTCGCGGATCACCTCACGTTCTAAGTCTAACTCATCGATATCAGCATTATGTATCAGCTCGCTAAGCTCGGACAACCCTTTAACCCTCATATCAAACCCAGTCAGTATAATAAAAGGTGCGAACCTAGTACTACGCGCTGGAGTGTTGTTGATGGCCTGCTGTACCCTGTCTATGTGTTTATACCAACTACCTGGTTCCTCAGAGCACAATTTCGATAACATTGGTACGACTATTTTATGCACTCGCTGAACTTGGCTTTTTCCTCGCGGAACACCTGTAGCGATTAACAAATGTTCAATACCCTCCCTTTCGCAGTAACCTTTGAAGAGGTTACTTGTGAAAGCGGCTCCTCTAGCAGTGATAACACGCCGTGGATTGCCAAAAATTGCAGCCTGTTTGGATAATCGGTCGACGACTGCCTCAGCACCGGTATTTTTGGTGCGGTATAACCACACAAACTTCGAGAATGCGTCCACCACAACTAAAATATAATTATACGCCTTCTTAGTTTGCTCCATAGGTCCAACATGATCAAGGTGAAAAGTGCTTAATGACCGATTCTCTTTATCAATGGGATTCAGTAGTCCTTCTTTCCTTCCTGCCTTGGCATCAGTTACGATGCATTCGACGCAACTCTTTACGACCTTGGCCGTTTTCGAGCTCAGCTGTGGAATTAAAAAGTTCTTTTCAACGGCTTCCTGGGTCTTTTTTACCGAGAAGTGTCCCTGCTTGTGCGCGGTTCGGATAATTTCATCTTCCATCAGCGAAGGCACCACTATAAGTTCCTTTACAGGATCCTTATAGAGTAAATTGGTTTTCATAAAAAAGTCCTCATACGTTTCCCTTTCTAACACCTTACAAACCGCTTTAATGCACTCGTCCTGCTGCTGGGCTTGCTTCAGTCTATGAGTGAGCGAATCCTCAAGAATCAGCATTTTCGACCCACTTCGATGCCCGATCTCATAATCGTGATCTTGCAGCCTCATGGCCCAACGAGATACCCTCAGCGGAACATCTTTCCTCCACATAGTCAGGGCAAAGGCGTTGCAATCAGTGACGATCTTGAAGTGAATTCCCAACAAATACACCCTCCACTTCTTGAGTGCCTCTACGATGGCCAACACTTCCAGCTCATATGAGTGGTATTTCTCCTCCGTTGGCTTGGTTTTGCGGCTCATATACTGGATTGGATGGAAATGCTGGTCCTCGCTGTCTTTTTGTAGGAGCACTCCGCCGTACCCATGCATCGACGCGTCCGTATGAACCTCGGTTATTGCCTTCGGGTTATAAAGTTTCAAAACAGGTGCGCTGACCAACGCAGCTTTTAATTTCGGAAACGCTGCTTGCTGATTTTCCGTGAAAACAAACTTTACCTCCTTCCGCAACAGGTCAGACAGTGGTTTGGCGATCACTGCGTACCCTTCAATAAATCGGCGGAAATACGACGTTAGTCCCAAAAACCTTTGTACCGATTTTTTGTCAGTTGGTACCGGAAAACTCTTCACCGCGTTTGTCTTCCCTTCCGATGGTCTGATCGTGCCGCCTTGGATTATGTAGCCTAAGAAATCGACTTTCGTTTGGAGAAACTGACGTTTTTCCCACTTAATGCGTAAGTTAAACTGTGTTGCCTTCTCCAATACTACCTTTAGCTTGACTACGCCTTGATCTACGTCCTTAGAGGGAATTATAAGATCGTCCATATAGGTGACTACCGTTCCGCCCCTAACAAGATCCCTAAACACAGCAAAAATGTATCGAGTAAATACCGCCGGAGAGTTGGAAATTCCAAAAGGAACATACAAGAATTCGTATTGGCCTTGATGGGTCACAAACGAAGTATATTTCCTGGATCCCGCCTCGATTGGCACATGGAAAAATCCATTTCTTAAGTCGAGAGTTGTGAAAACATGAGCGCCCTGTAACCTTTCGATCACGTCGTCCATGCGCGGCATGGGAAAATTGTCTTTCATTACCTTTTCGTTTAGACGACGATAATCGCAGCAAAGCCTTTTGCTTCCATCTCTTTTCCCAACCAGGACAATAGGCGAGGCATACTCGGATGTGCTAGGCTGAATAATGCCTTCCCCAAGCCACTCGGTGACTTGCTTATCGACAACACATTTGTCGGAGTATGACATTCGCCGTGGTCCCTGATAAACGGGGATATCATCAGTTAAACATATTTTCATAACGACTGGAGATTCATGCCGCTTTCTCGGTACGAAATTCTCTATTAAGGATCCGATCTCCCTTGATTTCGCGCTGTTAAGATGAGACGAGTCAACACTAATTTCCTGTTTGGCATTGGCGACAGACGCCAAACATATCTCTTTGAACTCCTTCAAAATAATTATTTCTGCTTCTGGCTCTTACTGCAAAGAAGCCGCTGTTGATTCGGTTTTAGCTTTGTTCCTTAACTGTACATATCTTCTGATACTCTCAAGTCGATCTGCCTCAACACATTGTTACCGATGATTGCTTGGTACACAATATCTCGCTCGCGGACAACATGAAAGGTGATATCTAATTCGACCCCGTCTATGTTTGTTTTGATATCGAAACTACCAATCGTATTAAGAGTACTGCTGCCTACGCCTCTCAATTGATGCCGTTCCTTAGATAATTCAATATCCCCTAGCATTAAGAGAACATCAAACCGCATAAGACACAAGTCGCACCCAGTGTCTAGCAATGCCGAAAACGTGAAATAGTTAATAGATCCTTAAAAATAACGCATCCTACAGAAGCAGCACGCACCGATTCTAAAGTGTTCACACGAGGTGTTTCCTGCTTAACCTGCACTTTCTTTGTCGGACAGTCCGCAATGCGATGTCCCGGTTTGTTGCATCCGAAGCATGTCGGCTGTCGCTGACGCTGACAGCTGTTAGCCAAATGCCCTACCTCGCCACATCGATAGCAACGTTTGTATCGGTTACTTGCGGCTTTGTTACACTCTTGCTCGAATCTTCGCTTTTCCCCTGCGCCCAAACTGAGTTGGCGCCCTGAACGCACTTTATCGTATATGAGAATCTGGGTTTTCAACTCTGCAATTGTAGCAGCATGATACAAATTCGCCTTGTTTGCCCTAGAGTCAGGAATACCATCCACAAAATACTCAATGAGGCTCTTGTCGTCTAAATTTATCGGCCTCCCTATCTCCATAAGACTGTAGAGATATTCACGATAGTCTTCGCCAGAACGCTTGCGACGATTTCCGAGCTCCCTATGCACTTCAATAGATGAGCTCGCTTGGGCGTATCCCAATTATTAATGCCGCGTTGACTACGCACATAAATTTTAGCAGCACTCTTTAGTAACTGCTTCCCATAAATAAACTTCTGAAGATCCCCCCACTGCACAGCTGTGGCATTATCCTCGAAATCGGAGAGCCATTCTTCCACAGAGGGATGCCCGATACCGCTAAATGACGTAAGAGAACCTTCAATATCGCGCAATGTGAAAACCGGACGACCAACCACCCCGGCCTGCGATACACTACTCTGAACAGAATCGCTCTCACTCCCGGAGCCGTCTTCGTCGCCTATGGTGAGGCCAAAATGCTCGCAAAATCGGTCCTGCAAAGTAGCTTTGCGTCCATTGGTTGAAAGTCCCAGTCCAGTCAGTTTATCTTTCAAACCGTTCACAGTCAGTGAAAATATTTGGTCCCTGTCCGTGCCGAAGTTTACAATATTTAACAATGTAAAATATTTAGCAAATATCAAGGTATTAAAATTATTATACTAAGTAAATATAACCTTTCGACAAAATATTCCTTAGCTTTGATAATAAATGTTCACAAATACTGTAAAAATGACTCAATTTTCAAATATTCTTACAGGAAAATAGTTTACACTATGAGCACTATTCTTTGACTTTTGTTTTTATTAACAAATTTACACAAATTGTGTTAAAATTTTCCGCAATTGTTCATTTAGCACATTTACAAACGAAATCTCATTTAATTTTCAAATAATCTAATAAGAAAATAGTTTACTTCATGAGCACCATTCTTATTTTCTTCTTTTGTTTTGATTAACAAATTCAATTTTCTTTCGCAAACCTCAGCTAAATAGAAGTCAACTTCAATTTCCTTCTTCAATCTTATTCTTTAAATTCCGTTTCCAAATTTATTTGGTTTTGCTTTATTATCGCACAAACTTCAATTCAATCTTCTTTCTATTCCAATCCAATTAGATTTTTCAAGTTTTCTTTTACTGCTGTCATTCGCATACTTTCTACATACAAACAATAACTTTTCTGCTCTCGCTGTTTCGCCAACCTCAGCCTTTCTACTGCTCACACTCGTACTCTCGTTCGTACTCGCTCCTGTACTCGGCATCTAGCAGCGCATCTACCCTACGTTGCTTTGTTTTAATTTCGCAAATCACTTGTCCCTTCTTTGATTATCGACGCTTTGGCCCTTTGCTCACGGCCACTATTGCCTATGCCTTGCTCTCCAGCAACGACATCTTACTCTGATGTCTACTTAGAATTTTCGTCTAGTCGTTTCGTTTACTTTCACGCTTTTCATTTTCAATCTCATAAATTGTTTATAATGACTTTTCATTAATCTAATCAAAAGTTATCAAAACAAGTTCTATGGGACTGAGATATATTATTTTCTAATTTTAGCCCATTTATAAAAGCGTGTAACATTAAAAAGTTTTTTTTTTATTTATTTTATTCTTTTTAGTCTTATCTGTATAAAATTTGGCAATAGATACTAAAATAATTCAACTTGCAGTGAAAAGAGAACAGAAGACAATGCAAGCAAAATGTTGTTTGCTCACGTTTAGTATATGCCTACATATAGCAGCAATTAATTTCATTTAAAGAAATGGCGTGTCGTCCATTTCCGCTGTAGCGTATGTAGTGCATATTTTTAAGTTCTTCTGGCGAGGCGACATCTATCTCTAGAGTTTTTCTAATTGTATGTCTCTGATATGATACCTACGACGAGGTTGATATCTAGACTACATTTGCCATAAATAACTTTGCTATATTTATAGTATATGGTGGTCTGGACATACAACATTGCAGGTTGATAAAAGCGTTGTAATAAAAGTGTGTAAGTATTAAGTACAGTGTTATGTGCATTTATATATATGAAAGTATGTGACAAATGCACTTTTTGTTAAGGAAATCAAATGGAACTACTTAAGAAATTTTAACAACAAATAACTTATAAACAATAATATTGTTTTTATTTTTTATTTTTTTTTGTTATACATGTTTTAGAGGATACCTCCCTTAACATCTTGGCCAAGTTTCATTTGTTAATTCCACCTGGTTCTCTTAAACCACAAGGTGCGGCTGACTACTAAAGCCCACCCATTTTTATTCACCTCACAGCTGTCAAAAATTTACTATCCAGTATATTTTTTTATCAATTGGAACAGGCCCTAAGGCACCGATATAAATTAATATGCTATAAGTGAATGCGAATGTGAATGCCAATGTATAGACATAAGAATATGGCGCCAAAACTAGAACAAATAAAAACACAACAGCAAAGAAATACTCTTAACTTCAAGCGTTACAAGCGGGGAGCGGAAAGATTCGCCCGCGAACGATGCGATGTATTTTTAAGAAATAATTTAGGTGAGCAAATTAGGTGATTTAGATAAATCAAAAATGGAAAAGTTAGTCATTTTTAATAATGTTTTTTTTTTTGATTTATTACTTGAATTTAAAAATTGGAACATTGTATTTAATAAAAAGTATTGTTGCTGCCTTTTCGGGTTACAGCCCGTTTTTCAAAAGGGCGTAAATCAAACCTACGTCACCAAATAACTACGCGGCATCAGTTAAGACGACTTTCAGTTATACATATTTACTTTTTTATTGCGGTGCAATGACTCAATCGCATCGAGGATGCAAATGTCGGATGTATCCTCCGGACTTTCATCTTCACAATCTAGCATCATGGCATGATCGTTGTTTAAACACCGTTGTTTTCCAAAGAATTCTTCATTCTCATTATTTATGTTGTTTCAGAGTTTAGAGAACCTGTAACGCCATCAGCGTCTTTCCATTTTAGTTTTTCTAATTCATTTTTAATTCCTTATTCTGTGACTGGTTTGAAAAATGTGTGCTTATAGCGAGGTTCTAAATATATAGGTGGACATGGCAAATAAATTGTTATTTTCTAGGAATGAAAGTTTTTAAGAAAAGTCTGTTTTGAAAGGCGTGGCTGCCAGCCGAATTAGTTTAGAAGAAAAGGCATGCCTTTTTTTTATAATAATTTGAATTATTGGAATCACGGACGATGGGTCTCAAAACTGCTTAGTTCCCGGGTGAGTTCTTAAAAAGGTTCATCTGTAACGAATAGCTTGTAATTAGTTCCATTTATTAGCTGAGCTAGTTGCAGGCTGTCACAATTAATTATTACCGTTTTGTTGTTCCATTCCATGCGCTCAATGTGCTTTGATATTTTGAGGTAAATGAACGCAAATTTTTAACATATCGGTAATATAGTATAGAAAGGGCGCAATTCACAATGTCGCTGAAATGCAAAAAGCCACAACTTAAATTGTTTATTGCATAAAACGATGTGGGGAATTATGATTCGAAGAAATGCATCATAATCAATCAAAAAGTGAATTTTGGATTTTTAGTTAGTTACGGCTTTTCGTATTTCATACTATACTAACGATATATTGCATTCCAAGTCCCACTTCTCAACAGATATTAAATTCGCCTTGAATTAATTCTTATTTGATTTGTGAACTTGCCTCACAACTTTGTAACATCCATTTTATTTTTATTTCGCTGCGTGCAAATTTTGACAATTATCACAAAATTATAATAAATGTAGTTGTTTTCGAGCGCACAGAGTATTTGCATAGTAAATTCGGTCAAAATTATAATAATAACGGTTTTTACCCGCATGACGTACGGAACCAGTATTTTCAATTTTTGCGCCGAGTAACGATAGGCAGGAGTTTGTTAAGTGTCGAGATCTAAAACTGTTCAGCTACAAAACTAAATTCATCAGCCGATTTTATGTCTTTATTTCAATAATTCATTTATTGAGAGAGGACAGTATCGATTTCTTAATGCTGAAAAGCGAATCTGATATATCAAACGTGCTGAAATGAGAGTTAAAATCCTGGCATAAGCACCGGAGTGGATCGTGCAATTCAAAATTAGTTTTACAAGCTTTCAGAAATAGGGGACAAAAGTGTCTTGATACCCGGGAGGGAACATTTAGGCTAACTTCGCCCAGAAGAAGCGGACTTGAAATTGAGCCTTCTAGTAATTTAACTATAAAAATTGTGCCAAGCACTTGCCTGCGGCTGGAAAGTGTAGGAAGATTAATAAGTTTTAATCGGCTCGTATAAGGTGGAAGGTTATATTGAGAATCCCAACAGAAATTTCTTAAAGCAAAAAGTAGGAATTGTTTTTGAATTGATTCGATCTTGTCTGAGTAAATTTGATACCTTGGATTCCAAACCACCGAACCATATTCCAGAATTGGCCTAACTAATATTGTAAACAGGGTTTTAGTGATATAAGGGTCACAAAATTCTTTTGACCATCGTTTCACAAATGCAAGTACACCTTTAGCCTTGTTCACTGTCACATTAATATGAAGATTAAAATTAAGCTTAGGATCCATTGTGATACCAAGGTCCACAAAATTGTATACCTGTTCCAGGTTATGGTTACCTATTGTATAAGAAGCGGAATGAACAGCTCTTCGCGAGAAGCACATTACTTTACATTTCTTAAGATTTAGAGGCATACGATTTACTTGACACCAGTAAGCCATGCTGTTTAAGTCTGATTGTAGCAAAGACCTTTCTTTAATTGAAACGTACGATTTATAAAGCTTTACATCATCTGTATACATCAAAATTTTGGAAAATTGTATATCTTTAGAAATATCGTTTATAAAAAGCAAGAACAGAAGCGGGCCTAGGTGGCTACCTTGAGGGACTCCTGAAGTAACATCAATGACGTCAGAGATAGTATTTTTAAACATTACCCTTTGTGATCTATCATAGAGGTATGAAGAGATCCAACGTAGAAAATTAGGTGGAAGACCAAGAAGATCAAGTTTATAAATGAGCAATGAGTGGAACACTTTGTCAAATGCTTTACTGAAGTCAGTATATATAACATCAACAGTTTTGCTTTCACTAAATGCTTTTGAGATA